TTTGTCTAAATGAGTGATAGGATGTTCAATATTTGACATTTCTCCAGTACACGGACGTACATAGACGCAGAACTCATTGAAACTGAAGAGTGGACGAGGAGAGAGAGGGAGTAGCAACAGGCAGAGGAACATGTTCGATTCAAGCTAAAGGTCAACACAGACGTTCTTTTCTCCTTTCTGTTATGTTGTCAGATAATTATGCTAACAATCCGAGCCTATCTGTGTGAAAAAATGCACTTTTAGTGGACGTACTTTGACGTTGTTTGACGCTGTCTGAGTACCCTATTATTTAATATAGCGCACGCTCACAGGCTGCAGGCAGGTCAGCCCTAGCTTCGTACTGGAGAAATGTCAAATATTGAACAACTTATCACTCATTTAGACAAAAGTAGATCGGAAAATAGGGCCCAGGTTGAAAAAAAGGTTAGTTCCCCTTTAAGAGCCAGGTATTTTTCTCAAGGGACTGACATGCAACTAACAGGAGAGTGAATTTTGGCTTGAATATTGTTTATGAATATGACTCCAAATGAAGGCTAATGCTGCTCGATCTGCCAGACATGTTGTAATAGGTGTATTTGGCAGCCATTAGCCAACACATGCCATAACAAATTTATACAGTAATAATGTCAGTGTTCTGTTGCCCTCTAGTGGCCAAAAAATAATAAGAAAAGACCAATTACATCCCAGTAACTATTATGATATGATTGATTAATCAATAAATAACTTTATTTGTCTCCGGTGGGGAAATTGACCTATGGCTAAGCCCCGCCCTCAAACGCGATGAGCCAATCACAGTGCGTATAGCCATTCCCATACACTCTGACATTCTCTGCCTGGACGTTCATTGAAATGCATTACAGAAAGTCAGTTTTGTTCGGTTTTATGAGCTTTTGTGGAGATTTGAAGTTTAAAAATGGTCAAACGGTGTGCATGGGGTACATGCAACTCTGACACAAGGTATCCTGAGAGGCTGGGCGACCAGGTGTATTTTTTACACTTTAAACCACATCTCAACCGAGAAAAGTGTCTCCTTTGGATAAAGTTGTGTGGTAACGTTAGACCACAACATCAACTCAATGTGAATAAGATTAACAATGATGTCTACATCTATTCTAAGGTAAGTCAACATCGTGTTTGAGGCAACATATTGTCACTTTGCTGGAAAGAAATATAAAGTTATCTTTAACATCTCTAGCTAACGTTAGCTAAAGTTAGCCTAACGTTAGCTCCTAGCTGCGTTGTTCATCATGTCACCTTGTTTGCTGGGAGTTCATTAGCCTATTTTGTTCTAGTTTTGTACTTTGGTGATCGTACATCATTGTTAGCTGTTGTCCAAAGGGCTCTAGTTAAGCTAACGTTAACTTCTGGAGCTTAGCTTCATTAATTTATCTGTAATCACAGAGATAACAAAGGTTGGCAAACGTTATGCTGAATGATTCAGTGTAAATACTGTAGCACCAAACTAACGGAGAGACACTCTTGGTAAAGATGGTAAAAAGGGCGTTATCCTTTTCTCATATTCTGAGCCAAAAACCTTAACTTCAGTGGCACTTTAACTTGTTGTGACGGCAACGAGATGCGGTTCACAAGCGTACACTGTGACCTGTAAATTTTGGCTTGTAATTTAAGCTTTTTATCGACCTTCTCAACAATAAAATGATGAATATATCCCTCCAATGCGTAGTTTAGGCCCTTTTGGTTACTTCTCAATGACATCTGATCGTTATGTCCCCAAAAATCATCAATTGCCTCCTGCGAAATGCCGTGTACTGTGACACCTGCCGGTCACTGAATGTTGATAGTTTGTCCGAGTGAGTGGAGGGGGCGTGGCTTAGCCATAGGTCAATTGGTCGTGGGATATAATAGTTAAATATTTGTTCACTTCCCAAACCGCTAATCCTGTTAGGGGCGGGGGTACACCATGGACAGGTCACCAGTCTATCACAGGGCTGACACATAGAGACAGACAACCATTCACACTCACATTCACACCTACGGACAATTTAGAGTCACCAATTAACCTGCATGTCTTTGGACTGTGGGAGGTAGAGTACCTGGGAGTACCCGAGAGAACATGCAAGCTCTGCACAGAGGGGCTCCCCCACCCAAGGTTCGGACCAGGAATCCTCTTGCTGTGAGGCGACAATGCTAACCACTGTACTACCATGCCGCAAATTATTCAATAGTTCTTAACTACGCACTATTAACTAGGTAACTGGTAATGGAGCCTTAGCCTTATCATCTGGCATCCAGAACTTTTCCTTGCTCTGGCCCTAACCACTGGAAAAGCAGCAGGTGTTGGTCATGATGGACATGATCTAATATTATGTATTCATTGGTCACAGATCACAATCGCTCCATTTTGACAATTTTTGTCCTCATTAAAATACCTTCATCAGCAGTGTTTAAGCTATTATCTATTGTCTGTTGAGAGCAGACAATCTCATCCTGCAGCTGCCTGTGGAAATGTTAATACTACTATTATTATTACCTTTGTTATTGGTTATGTTTTCAGTTTGGTTTGTTTGTCAGCAGAGTTCTACTGGCACCATTCATGAAACTTGATATAAGGGTGTAGCATGAGCCAAGAAAGAACCCATTACATTTTGGAGCGCATCTGAATCACAGGGATTCACTAATTATTTTTCAGTTAAGAAGTAAAATTGGTTTTTAAATGTTCATTAAACTGAGACAATGTACTGATACTGTTTATCTGCTTTGTGCAAAATAAAAAATAAAGTAAGGAATACCCAAAAACATGACACTGAGTCACGATGGGTACTTTACAGACTAATTCTGACATGTTTAGACTTGGTATATGTAAAGAAGACTACATTTACTCTAACAAAAACCAGGCCAGGACCTTATATCTGTGGCTATATGATACTTTTAGGAGTGTATACATGTTTGTTTTTTATTTATCAATGCCTCAGTGTTAGCCTGAATAAAAAAAGCTCTGTCCAAATCAACTAAGCCAAAGTCAGACATGATTTAAGGACTCAATAAGTCATGTTAAACAAGCCTAACGATCTGAGCAAGCACTTGATATTTGGCACCATTCTTGATGCTACAGACACATTTTGGTCTGTGCCAAGAACGCAATCACAGTTCGTTATCCAGCCCTGTAAAATAATTACAATTTTGATGCTAGAATTTTATTCGGGACAGTTTGGAGAAGGCTTCCGATGCATTTAGACTTTTGTGCTTGGAAATAAAACAGATAATATGACAGAACAAATAAAGGTTGACACATCCTCTCAAAATGGCCAGAACCAGTTATACTGTGAACATGTTTTTGCACAGTATATCACAGAGTTAAAAAAACTAAAATTAATCTGCAACTATTTTGATCATCGATTTATTATTTAAACACTGTCTAGATACCGCTCAATTTTAAGGACTGGCTGCTTTATGTGATTTGATATGTTGTGAATCAAATATCTTTGTGTTCTGTCAGACATCTGACAAACATAATTGTTAGCTGCAGTCCCAGACATAAGTCTCCTCATCTGCAAATAACTCATTCAACAATTATACTATTATCATGTTATTGCACAAACTGTCTCGTGCCTTACAAACAATCAAACACAAGATTTAACCTCTTCAGTTCAGCCCATATTAAAGACAAGATAACAGCACTATAAGGTAATCATTTTAATGTGTCCCTCCTTTCCAACATTCTTCTGCCAGAGTCCACTTGAAAATTTGGCTATTTCTAAAAGTTACTGATAGCCTGTGTGGGTCTGAATACCAATTGACACTCAGCCTTAAAATATAAAACATTAAAGAGGCAGGTTTTAATCGAGCTCCTCTAAAGGCTGTCTCTATTCCAATGAGACAGGACTCCATAACTGTTGTGGGGTTTACCTCGTCTGACAGGAGTCTGGTTGCCGCCTTGAGACTGTGACAGGCTCTATGAATAACCAAATATGCATCAACACAACACCCTGTGACCGGGATGCACCTGAGGTCTGCACGGACAGCAGGGATACACCGAGAATCCCCGGAGAATCCAGCTGTTGCCTCACATGTGGAGGAAAAAAAAACCTCCCCTGCGTGAACACAACTATTGAATTGCCGCATGCATTTGATTTAAAGCCCTGCTATCATATGACACAGACGAGGCTTTGCAAACACAGCAGGGCGTTTATATGACCTGGGTAAACAGCAGCAGATAACAAGACAATTAGCTTCACACACAGACGTAATGTTATCAGCGTTTCCAGTCCAATAAACTTAACATTGCCTTAACTGTGGCCCCGATGCGCCTCGTAAATGGAAAGAACGTCACGCAAAACTCAATTTAATAATTTAGCATTTTAATATATCCGTATTCACTGCCAGGTAACTGTTGGGCTTGCTGTCAAATAAAACGCAGATTATTAATCTTTAAGGGCAACACTATATTTCGGCTCACATTGAACACACACAGCAGCTATTATTTCAACAGCATTTTAACTTTTATAGATGGTTCGCATTGGTCGCTACCGCCCTCCGCGGTGCGTTTCATTGGTAAAAGATCGACAGAAACTGCAGCGAAGCAGCGTAAAGATGGTGTTTTGCATCAAAATTAAGCGAAATTTGTGGCTTATTCATACGCAGAATGAATGCGTGGCTTTTAAACATCTCAAATACTTATTTGGTTTATTTTTGTATGTTGTGTCTTCTCGGTAATAACCGAAGAAAGCTCAATTAGTTTTTTTTCAAATGGCGTCTGGCGGGACGTTCCCTGTGAAAACATCACGCATCAGCCTACCTGAGCTGCCGACACCAAATCAAAGCTTAATGTTGTCTGATTATGAAAAGAAAACACAGCATACACAATACAAAGCTCAAGTGCACATTTATAATCAGACAATATTTACATTGTGGGTCAGATTTACCAAAAACAAATCCTCCGTGCAGAAATAAATAGCGGCAGCGACCATGCAGAGGACAGACAGCGCAAACATAATACAGCAGACAGGCATAAGAGCAACAGGCGACACAAGTCTCCTCACCTGCAGACACAGTCATTACCTGGTGGAGTGGAAACGGTCTTATCACATGAAGCAGCTCAGACAGGCTGTGAGGGCAGCCTGCCTGCTCATGTATCCGCTCACTGATGTACAAGTCGCAGTGTGAATTCGCATCTTTACCTTTCAGTATAAAACACTGCACAGGAGTGAATGGGGAGAATGGGAGGGGTTCTCTATGTGAAGTGAGCGGGGAACAGAGACAGCACCACGTCCGGTGGCAACCTCCAGTGTAAAACAGAGTCCCTGTGTGAGTAATTTACTCCTGTATGTAATGTAAGATATGTTAGAAATAAAGCAGAATAAACAAATTATAAATACAAATGCATCTAAGTTTTGTTCTGGATATTTTCATGTTTGTTATACACTGAAAACAACACAAACAAAACATTTAGGAAACCAGTTCATGGACTGTAATGTGTAACATGAAGGGACATATGAACATGTTTGGAGGTGCCAGAGTGAAAATGAGATGCTGAGCCTATACTGACCCACGTCCTCCAATCTGTGCATGTATGTAGCCTGTCAGGCTGTTCTCATGTTCTGTTCACATGTATACCTATGAAAATTAATGCACCAGAATTCATAACATAACCATGAGCCAGTCATTTATATAACCTACATCACTGTGAAGGCTGCAACCATGTGACAAATGCACTGATGAGTAAAGAAGGAGGTAGTACAAAGAGCAAAAGTCTGCATAAGGAGGCAGGCTGGCGTGTGGATGGGACAAACAAACACAGGACTTTCCCCCAGGAGACTGCCCTTACATTAAACATTTTACCTGATGATGGCAAACCATAATTCTTCTCCTAAAACTAACTTTACTTTCCAAAATTTAACCTACATAACTTTACTCTTCTGATCCTAACTTATTGCTAGGCAACCTGTGGCTCTTTAGCCTCTTCTCCAGTGGCTCCCTGTGGCCTTGACAAAAAATATATGGAACTGAATACCAGTTATGTTTGTAACATTTTATTTTTTGTTTAACATTGCTGTAGCCTGAAAGTGATTCTTGCATTTTCCAGTTGTATAAATGTGTAGCCTACACACTGAAAAGCCTGAATATAAAAAAAAAGTCTTAACATCTTGTCAACAATGCGTGTCAGACGTCACCTTCTCTAAATCTGTAAAATTTGCCAAATCTCTATATCGATGGCTAAGCTTGAGTCTCCTCAGTGAGGCTATTGATTCCAAATCTGAAAAAGAAAACATCTAAAATAAAATGGAAAAAGGGGAAAATAATGAGTGGACAGATTTGTTTGCTTCAACCACTAATGCTGCCAAGTACCAAACAATCATAAATATCTCACAGCAGAGCAGCTACTTTGTTGTGATACATTATTGAATGCTGATTTAGACCTATTAGGAATGTTCATAGGCTAATGTAGATAAAAATAGGCTGTGTTGCCAACGCTATACGGCACAAACATGTATTGCGGCTCCAAACAGATTTCTTAAAAAATGTTTTTGCCAAAAATGGCTGTTTAGATAGTAAAGCCTGCTGACACCTGTCAAACTTAACAACACCCAGCCATGACTCTTTTCCTGAACCCAGCCAACATAACACTCCTTTCCTTAACCTAACCTACCTAACTTTACATTAAGTACGTCATGTGATGACACCTGACCATAATTATTTTCCTTAACTGTAACTTTACTCTTCTGAACCTAACTTGTGCAACTTTGCATTAAGTAGGGCCTACGTAACATGATAACACCCAACCAAAATTCTTTTCCTTAATCTAACCTACGTAACTTTGCATTAAGTATGTAACATAACGAGACCCAGCTATGATTCTTTTCCTAAACCACACAACACTCCTTTCCTTAACCAAACCTACATAACTTCACTTTCCTTAACCTAACCTACGTAACTTCACTTTCCTTAACCTAATCTACATAACTTCTGAACCTCACCTCTGCAACTTTGCATTAAGTATGCAACGTAACGAGACCCAGCCATGATTCTTTTCCTAAACCACGCAACACTCCTTTCCTTAACCAAACCTACATAACTTCACTTTCCTTAACCTAGGAAGGAAAGTGAAGTTAGGCTTCAAATTAGAAAATAAAAAACAGTTACAAGTCACTGATGAATAATAAAAGTTTAACATTGAGGCACACAAACTTTACAGGCATTTGGTATCCCACTGCCTCCTTTTGACCCAGTACCATTAGCTAAAGAAGGTCATGGGATATAGCCGAAATCTCCAGATAAAGTTACAATATATCTCTGGAGTTCAGGTTGAACTGGCTGAAAAACATTATGGATAATAATAGCCTCATCGGTGAGGTCAGCGAGACCCAAAAAGACATCAGAGCGAGGCTGGGAAAAGCTTCAGACTGCCTTCTCCCATCTCTGTTCTGTCTGCAGATCCAAGCGACACAGCCTTACAACCAAGATGCTCTTGTGTAACAGCAATGTCAGGTCTGTTCTGCTGTATGTTTCATAGAGTTAGCGAGTGGTCAAAACAGACATGAGGAGAGCGGAAGTCTTTCACAACGGATGCCTCAGACAAAGATGCCAAACAAAATGTCCAGCCTTGAACTGTGCAAGAAAACAGACGTTTGACATGGTGAGGTCATGTGCGGAGAATGGAACAGGGCCAGATCACGAGAGTCACCTTAAGATGGACACCTTGTATGCAAACTTTGAATTACCTCTGACTCACAAACACTTTGCCTTTTACAGTATTTACTTTAGTGCCCAAACACATTTACAATCAACCAAACCACTGAGAATTTATCACGTTGATGCTCTTCCATTAATCTGGACTAAATGGCAGTTGAAGGAGTTCATAAATGAGAGAGTTAATCAAATGACTAATATGCACGCTAATTTTATCACAGCCAATATAATCAGCTGTTGGCCTCTGGCTATACACACAGCTCTACGTTTTCCAGCTCCATGTTAGAGCAGAGAGGTTCATCAGTGGCGTACAACAGGCCCCGGTGCTCACTGCTATGACAGGCCTGATAGTGTACACTATAGTGCACATATCATCTCGTCACATGATCAGACACTTGACATTAAATAACATTAACTTATATATTACCCAGCAATCATCATTGCATATCTGTATATCACAAAAATACCAAAGAAAATTAGAAATTATTCGTTAAATTTGACAATTTATTACAGTTTATTTGGAACAATCATGTTTTTAATGTAATGAGAGTTCTTCTTTGAACACAGGGATTTCCAAGGTGGCAGTCACTCATAAGGGCCCATTCTCCACCCAACACATTGTTGGCAGGCCCACTCTCTCTATGGGCCCCCCACCTCAAAGGCCCCAGTGCAACCACACTGCCTGCACTGTCTATATTTACGCCCCTGAGGTTGATGTTATGGAAGATATTTGGAGGGCTAAAACAACCCACTTGTTCTTACCAATAAGAGTTAAACTAGTTAAAAGAGTGGTATTTTTAAGTCAGCAGAAGTGGGTGCTTAGATGTATTGGGAACTAAATGATAAAACCAGGCAATATACAAACACACTATTGAATGTAAAACATAACATTTCATTAATTTTTGTATTAATCAGTTCACAGCAGCTTCATGATTTGAATCTATCTCTGTATCTCCAGCTGGGGTAGTTCTCATCAGTCCGTCTGTTCCTTTTGCTGTTGAGCAGTGACCAGTGTGACAAGCATTTATTCCACACTTTAGATAAACAGTAACAATAAAAGGTTTTGACACAAGCAGCTACTTGAGAATCAAAACCAAACCTGAGTCAGCAGATTCACTTTGTAAGAGAGCCTACCTCCTTCTGCCAGCACTCTGTTGACTCCTCATCTCTGCTTCGTCCTCTCGACTTTGACAGTGTTGTGTTCTAAGCGTCTGTGTTTGCATCTTAAAATTACATTTTAGATTTTGAAGTTTCTTCAAACTCCAAATTCATCTTATTCCAAACAGTATGAGGGAGACCCACGGATAAATCATCATATTTGCTGAGCTTACTTAGTGTTTTCTTGACTCTTTTCTTTTCCCTCATATCAAAGTCAGTTTGGTTAGATGCCTGAAATAAGGTCTTTGGTTTGTGGTTTTGCGATATAAAATCAGTCAGTAAATACCTCACTCTTTAAAGGAGCAATAAGCGAAATTCTTCATTTCTAGATTGAAGGAATTAAAAAATTGCTATGTGAAGAACTAGAGGTGTAATTTCATATGGAGTATAACATGACCTCACACACCCTCTCTCTGTGTTGATCTCCAGCCCATTGTTTACAAGCCAGTCTGGCTGCGCATTCATGTACGTTCATTCATGTACGTTCATTCCTCTCTTCTCCATGAGCCGGGCTCACGGGCTCACGGAGAAGAGTTGGAACGTTAGCATGGCAGCCAACTAGTGCTAACGCTAACGTCCCCACGCTTAAGCAGGCTCCCGGAACCTTAGCATGGCAGCCAACTAGTGCTACACACGCTAGAGCTCACCAGAGCCGAGAAGCAGGGTCCCGGAACGTTAGCATGGCAGCCGACTAGTGCTAACGCTAACATCCCCACGCTTCTCGGCTCCGACTCACTGAGCCTGGCGGAAAAGCGTGGGGACGTTAGCACTAATGGGCTGCCACGCTAACGTTCCAACTCTTCTCCATGAGACTGTGAGAACGGCTCCTGGCTCAGTTGGAGTTGGAGCATTAGTGTGGCAGCCGAGTAGTGCTAACGCTAACAGGAAAGCAGGGAAATAGCTAAACACAGCAGAGACCGAGAGTGAGTGAAAGACATTGCTAACTGCTAAATTAAGTTGGCTGTTTAGGTTTTATTTCCTCGCCCCTGTGGCAAGTGAATCTGCCTGCAGTGAAAGCGGGGGCTAACCGGTGCTTCTTCCTCATGCTCCACTTCACTCAGCTGCTAACACAACCAGTTAGCCTCCGCTAGCTTCCCAGCTAGCGGCTTTCCATTTGGATCCAACCGGAGCACCGAGCCCTGGTTTGTTATTCAGGTTAATGTGGGAAGAAGCAGCGGGTATATCGGGCAGCTGAGTGAAGCTGAGTGAAGTGGAGCCTGCGGAAGAAACACCAGGACCGTCTGGATGTGATAGTCCGTGGAGATGCTGCGGTACTCGCCGGCACAGACGAGGCGAGTTGGGGGGGTGGGGGGTGTTGGAGAGCAGAGATAGAGGGAGGAGTGGCTCATGACAC